TAGCAAGTACAATTGGAATTGTTCAAAGAAATTCGTTCATCAGAGGCAATGCTCTATTTGATGAGAGTTGTGATGTGTTTGAAGTTTAGATAACTTTCATTGTCTATGTTCATTCTGTTGTAATCTCCTTCGAGTATCAATGAAACTTTTTATCTTTTCTCGTTATTTCTTCTGGTCTTTATATTTTTCACACATAATTATCTTTTTGATTATGACAAAAAGGGGGAGTAATTAAATAAACATAATTTTGATTTCAATAATCAAGTCCTGGAAAATGTTCTCTGAAAAGAGTTGCTTACATTCTAACCCAGTTAAACTTCTATTTCTGTTAGAATTGTTTTTCTTTTTCAGGAAATGATAACTTTGATTAAAGAAAAATATCTGAAAGCATTGTGCAAGGCTTATGTCTAACATATTGGCTTCAGACTCTGAAGATGTTTTTCAATTCATAATCAGACTCCAAGAAGTGAAATCTGGAATCAGACTCCAAAGAATTGAGAATCTGGAAGATGTCTTAGTGACATTAAAGTTTCAAAGATTTCAATTTGATTTCATTCTCATTGGCATCTAAAGTCAAGATTTAATAAGAATAAGTTCTATGAAATCAAGATCTCAATTGTTCTATTGGCATCAAGATCTCAATTTTTTCCATTGGCATCCAAAGTCAAGACTCTCAAGATCTCGATATCTGATCTATTGGAACCAAGGGGAATTTTACTCAAATGGTTCTGAGTCATAATATCTGATCTTCATTAAGTCATTGACTCAGAGGGAGTATTATAAAAAGGATAAGTATTCCTTACCTTTCTTATTTCACTGATTATGATTATATGTACAAAATTGTGTCATCAAAATACATAATTTTGTCATCATCAAAAAGGGGGAGATTGTAAGAACAAGATTTGATTCTGCAATATTATCTCTGAGTTTTGATGATAACAAATGAGTATGTTTGTGTGAACAATTTTGTTGTACTAATATTTGTTATTGTTGAGTACTTAACAAACAGGTTCTACTTCTGATGGATGGCGTGGGCAAGACATTAGAAAAGAATTAGTTCCGCTTATGTGCTACACAAGTTCTGTTGAACAGTAGCAAGACACTCCAAAAAGATCTGAAGTGTAAGCTTTGATATTTGTCTAAAGAAATCAGTCAGAAGATCTGAAGACAAAAGTTGCTACTTAAGTCCAGATGCTGAAGACTCGTGTTTCTGAAGACAACGAGTTCTAAAGAAAAAGTTAAAATATATGGAGGCAGAAGTTTCTACTCAAGTCCAAATGCTAAAGACTAAAGTTTCTAAAGACTCAAGGTTCTAAAGATAAGGATTCTAAAGACCAAGTTTTAAAGACTCTAAAGACAGAAGTTCTAAAGATTCTAAATACTTGAAGTTCTAAAGACCCAAGACTCCAAGAAATGATTTTCACAACCAAGTGCTGAAGACTCTGAAGACGCAGTTCTGAAGACTTAAAGTTTTTATGACCTTGTATTATATTCTCATTTCTAAACTCATACTCGTAGAAGCCTTTTAAATGCAGAAGGAAAAAAAATAACGTTAACGTGGTACAAATAGTACATGGTACAATCAACATTTTCTTCTCACTACCATGAAAGGACGAATGCATCGCACGATCTTGTCCCCCACGTTACTGTTCAAGCTGTCAATGTTTCTAGAAATCCCAAGAGTACCCCTCAACGGATATATCATTTTATTAGCTATATAAAGGCTTGAAGACTAAGAGAGAAAGTTGTCAATCAACAAAATATTCATGTGCAAACGTTGTTAATAGCTTTCACATTCTTAAGTCACTGTTCTTAAAATAGTTGACATATTCAACTTTTTAGAAGCAATGTTCTTGTAAATAAAACTTGTATTCAAACAGTTGTTTGATATTCCTTAAGGGACCGGGTAGGACTGCACAAGTCAGTAGCTCTGTTTTTCAAAAATTTGTCAACGGTAACCGGTTACTGCAGGACAGTAACTGGTTACTGCGTAACATAATAGCCTATTTTCTTCAAATTTTCACGTGGTAGTCGGTTATTGCACAGTGATAGCCGGCTACCACTGCTATTTTTTTCAAAATTTCTGCAATTATGCAGGTTACGATTCCTCTTCTCAACACACCAAAATTCACCAATTCTCATCATAAAACAAAAACAATTATTCTACCGAACATGTATAATTTATAACCATCAATTAGGGTCAATTTATATCATCAAAATCAAAGGTTTTTCACACAAATTCATCATCATCAATCGTCACATACACAAATCACATACACATCAAATTCACACAAATATGATTATACAATTATATAACCTAACTCTACCATAAACCATCATCATATAATCCTTTATAATGTTATAACCCCCCACACTTACCTTAGATTGGTGATTATTCTTGATTCATATGGATGAACTTCCTTCCCTAACTTCCTAGTGTTTCCTCCTCTTCTCACTTCTACGCTCTCTTTCTCTGTTTCTCTTCTTCTCACTCTAATATATCCCAATATTAAAATAGCTATCACAGTTAATTAATTATTTAATTATTATTATAAAATAATAATGATCTTAATATTATAATGTAATAACAATAAAAATCTATATTATACTACACACTCCCATGTTTCTACATATTTAGTCATACACCCCTAGAACCTTAACCCCCATAATTCTAAGGCATCTAGTCCCCAACAAAGATATCACATCATATCATCTAGTATTTCAACACCAACAAACACATCATAAAATCTATCAACTCATGAAAAACACCACATCATTTAATTTTTTAAATAAAATAATTCTAATTAAATTAGGGTGTTACAGGTAGTTTGTGCAAATTATAATCAATTTGGTTATAGTGAATTAAGTCTTCGATTGAGTGAGGCGAAATCACATTAACAGATGGACCAGACTAGATTGATAATTTTCAAGTGAACTAATATAAACATACATTATTCTTTACTTCCTGTTCTTACTTATTGTTATTATCAAGAGTGGAGATTAAAAGGATTTTAACCTAAGGAGAATATTTTTTTAAAAAAGTTTTTATTTTTTAAAACTCAATTCAACCTCCATTTTCTTGTATTTTTCACACCATCAGAGATAGCTCAATTGACAATTGCTAGTTGAGTTAAAAGAATTCAAGCTATTAGTTTATGGTTCAACTCTTACTGCACATTTATTTGTACTATATCTCAAATATAAACAAATATATATTTCATTCTAATTTTAATATTTTATTATTCAACTTTCTCTCTTTTTAAAATAAAAAAAACTCACTTTTATTCTTCACAAAATCGCCTAAAATTACCCTTACTTATGGTGGCCAAAGTCACCCAATGATATTCCCAAAAGTTGGTATTACACCTAGTGAAAACTGAAAATACTTGGTTTAAGACCATTCTTTTTACAAGGATTTTATTTTACACCCATACATTCATTAAACATGTTGAAGGACAAAGAAATAGAAAGAGTGATCTGATAGGTTGATTGATAGTGATAAGAAGATCAAAACCGGAAAATAGTTAAATGTTGAGTAGGTGTTGAGGAGTTATGGGTGTGGAATATATTCTCTCTTCGTCTATTTCAAAATGACTTTCATTTAACGTTTTTATGCACATAAAAAATTTGTCATAAAATATTATATTTTTATAAAATTAATTTTATTAATATATTGAAAGTAGTATCTAGAATAATAATTAAAAAACACAATTGAAAAAATAATAGTAATTATTTCATTGAAAAGTGAGAATAACAACCATTTTAAAACAAATTTTATTTATTAAAATAACAGTTATTTTATAACAGAGGGAATAATTAAAAAAAAAAAAGTTTGGAGTCACTTTTGTGGAAAATGTACCCTCTTCTGCTCACATGTACTGCCATCTCTCGTGTTCCTAATCCAATGGAAATAAATGACTCAGATTACAGCAGGATAGCAGAAGGCAATGCATAGGCGAGGATCCAAATCCACTTTTGTGTGGGTAAAAGTTATTCTAGCCACATCTAAATATATAATTTTAGTCTTTAAACTTGAATTTTATTCAAAATTATTATTCAACTCATCTTTTATACTAACATAAATTGTTTTACATTAATTCACTTTTAATCAAAAATCAATTTTACAAAATAGATTCATCCAAATTCAATTTTCACTATCACAAAATCAAATAAATACTTAGTTATAAAAATGATAACTTTGTAATGGAAGTTTGGAATAGGAGTGTTCTTGCATCACCCTTCAAGTTGAGTGTGAAATAATTTGCCATGACAAATGAAGAGAATAAATTGTTGTAGAATATTTTTATACTCCCTCTATACGCAGCTTGATGTATGCCAGTGTCAAATGAATGATGAACTAATTACGAGGAAAGAGTAACTTGAAACTTAAACTTTGATGATAGAGTTTGTGTTAGTTGGGTATAATGATTGAGAATAGGCGGGAGATATTGACTCTCGCATATTTACTGCAGAAAAACTTACGTAAGATAAATTCTTATTCTTAGAAACAATCATATATATTTTTTATTAATTAAAAAATAAAAATATTTTTTCTCTCTCCTTTATTATATAACCACCACCTCATGATTTCAATTAAAAATAAATTATATTTAAAATAAATTTAACATAACACCACTTTATTGATTGTTTTTAAGAATAAAGTTTATTTTCGTTTCCATGCAAGTTTATCTCTCACTTCCGTTTCTTTTTTTATATTACATATACATGAAGGGGAACTAAAACTTGCAAGGAGTCGTTCTAGGTGAATTGAAGACTTTTCTTCATGAGTTTGTTTTCGTCCAATGTATTATGACAACCAAAGTACTTAGCACCTTATAAGACTATTAAGACTTATGATCCATTAGAAAACATGTTTCATGATTAGTGGGCTCTTTTTAGCAGCAAAATAACTCGCAGGATGATAAAAAAGGGAAAAGGAATGTCCTGACCTTATAGACCTTTGAACAATTATTTTCATGAAACACCGAGTTACGTTCTTTTCATCTTTGCTTTCTTTTCTGCCTCTGGAAATTTGGTTTCAATAGCTGGCTGCCAACTATGACTTGTTCTGTATTTTGAGTTGACTGGAATGGTATTAGAGGCTTCTTTGTAGCCACAGTTTTATTTTTCACACAACTCTCATTTAAAGCAGGAGAGACTTTCTTTCCTTTCAATGGCCTTGGAACCTCCAATCTCTCTAAAATCCTTGAAGTTTCCTTGTCTAGCTCTCTATTACTATTTCGTGGTGCTATACTTGATTGATCCAACTTGGCTTTGGGCATGCAAGATGGAGAGTGCAACTTGGGCTCTTCGCTTACAACCAATTGCTTCCATTCTTCTGTAATACAGGCCATGGTTCTGTCATCTTGATCCGTAATATCCATAGACAAAATCTCCTTATCCACGACGACATTATTTGCTGATTGTGCTCTCCCGATTACCTCTGATGAAGGTTGTTGACTTGAGTTAAGTTCAGAAAACGCACCATCCTTTTTGGGAAATACTAACCTAACATCATAAATAAATAAAATACAAATTTATGAATGTTCGGTTAACAAACTAAATTTGCAACAATGATTCATTTAGAATAACAAGCCAAAAAAAAAGGCAGTCTTGAATCAAAATATTAAGTCATCTTTTATCTTAAAGAAAATTAAATGCAAAAATTCTCAAATCTTGTAGAAAAAATGTTCATTCTAATAAAAAAGAGTCAGTTGCTAAATCTGGCAGCATCTGCTCAAAATCGCTAGCTGTTAATTCTTATATCTACTTATTTTGGAAAAAAGAGTTTTGTTACGCGTATTCTCAAGCTCGTGCATTTTCATTTGTTAAGCTGCATGCAGAAAGTAGAAACTCACCCCAATTGTAGGCTTTCTTTGACAAGCACGTTTAGTTTTTGATGAAAGCCTCTTTCATGCAACAGCGGGTCGTAATCTGTTACTTCAATCTGCAAGTAAATTTTGGTTTCAATACTCCAAAAAATAAGGAACTTACTCAAGTTTGTGAACATTTATGTGATTCAATTTGAATTCAAACTATAAAGTTTAGTCTGCAGAAGTTTGCAAGCTATCGCCACATATCAATCTATAATTCCATATTTCCAGTCCATCTATCCCCACATATCAGTCCATATTTCCACAACTCGTCAACTACAACACCTGCCAAGCTGAAATTAACCAAACAACCCTAAATCATACCCATGATGCTTACTTCAGTCAGGAGCAGAGCAGAAACACTAATGTTAGTGGTAAGATGGTTGGATAGGATAGCATACCTAGATATAAATGGATATGAGAGAATGCCATAAGACGGCTCACAAATTTTTAAGGAGAGTATAACATTTAAGGGGGCGCCAAATAAATAAAGGAAAAACTCATTCTTTAATCCATGTCTTTAGGAACAAGAATGACATACAAAACGGGGCAACCTTTGGGAAAGATTGATTGAAGAGAGATTAAGAGGAGAAAATTACGTCAAAAATAAATTGATTTTATGTTGGTAACATTGATCATAGAAGTCATATACTTGATTTTCTGTTGTTACTAAAAGGTCCAAAACATTGAAGAAACCTAAATGTAAAATTTAATGCATGAGGGTTTTCTTATTCTCCACAAATCATCCGCCCAAAATAACGTCCGCATACAATTTTTTGTCTGCATCAATAAGTCAATCGAAGGAAAAAAGGAGCAAAAAAAAGGTAAATTTCAGTGTAAATGTTTAAATCACACCTTTAGCAAACAGGCTTGAACAGAGCTCTCTACATCCTTATTGACCAATGGATCAATTAATCGGTTGTCAGGAGTTTGTTTGACTTCTTCTGCCCCTGCAAGGCGCTGCATGTTTTATGGATAATGAAAAGCGGTGAATCATTACCAATGTGTATGTTAGGAACCCAATATACATTCTACTGCATTGTAATGACACTGCATGGCTGCTGTTACTATACTGTGTGCTAATGTGCGGAGTCAGAGATTAAGAGGAATAAAGAGAAAAAACAAGTTCTCACCCTCATAAGCATTGGTGCATTATCTGATGGCTGCAGAATGTAGTAACAATGATAAGGAGCCTCTGTCATTGTTTCTAAATCACAATTTGAAAAACATAGCAAACCCTGGTCCATTGAATGTAGAACACTAGAAAGGCCTTGAAAAACTGTCAAATCATAGCCATGTTAGGAAAAAAGATAAACTTTGAAGAATTTGACCAATAAAAATTGAACAGCGACGACTCAGGAATAATGACAATGACACAGGTGATAGAACTTCAAAGAAGAAGGGTCCTACTACTCACGTTGAGCATTCATGTCTGACTGATCAGTATCATCGGAATTGGTTTCGATCAAATGGTAAGGATATGCAGTCACGACAAATGAAGCCCCCATTATTAGACCTGCATTAAGACTCAAAAATCAGAAAACCTATTTTTTTTTAACGAAACCACAAAGAGGGGTTAAGAACAAGACATTGGGTGCAGCAATATTGCTTAATCAGTCTCCATAGTCTATCATAAAAAGGAAAGAAATCTGTATGAAATAGACTTAAAAAAAGTGAAGTAAGAAAGAAAAGAAGTGAAAGAATGGTGTTTTCTTTTTCTCCCATAGGCTATTGATATAAATGTCGGACAGATCAATTTCATTGTGCAAACACTCAATCTAGCAGCAGTTTGTACAGGTTGCATTTTAACTGAATTTAAAATAACAAACAAATTCTCGTTGCATACTAGTATTAACAAAAGTTTATAAATGAAAGGTAATAAGAAAATGCACACCTTCGTCAAGAGAAGCCAAGTTTATCCTCTCAGTAACAGTTACGTTGATTGGTGAATAAACTGGCAGGAGCTTCAGGGAATTATGGAATGAGGGAAGAAATAGAATAGTTTTTTCCCCAACTCGAACAGAATTTTCACTAACATCACTTGTTTCCAGATTGGAGCCAGTGACTGGACAGGAAAACATGTTGAGTTTTTTTTCAGCATCTCCTAAAGGAATGCCGTGGCATCTGCATGTCTGCAAAATTCCAATAATCAAGTATTCTTCCTTTTCCTTTAAATGAGTTGAACTCGTTATTATAAAAGAAAAAGAGGATTATGGTAGGTAAGATGTTGCTCAAGATTTTACAATAGATGCTGTAGTGGGCATTCAAAAGATACAATTATTTTGGAATTAGACCAATAATGAAAATAATCAATTGAAGGTGGAATTAATAAATGAAACTATTTTGCATGAGTATGCCGTCTTCATGTTTCTTATATATTCCAGCTGAGGTTTACCTAGTGTACGAATGTTACTGAATGTTTGACATTTTTGTTCAAAAAAAGTTTCCTACTATAGAACTAATTATATATTTATTTTCAAACACGGTCAGTGTCTCCAGTTTGCTTCTGGAATTGACTTAACCAAAATTGGGCAGTTGATTTCTCCAACAATTATACATAATACCTACTGTATACAGTTGTGGACATAAGTTTTCTAATCTAAACAACCAACATTAACATAATATTTCTCAACAAAAATACACACATCTACCAAAATTTGGGATGGTTAGTAATATTCAATATAGGTTGGACACTCTACTACCTGACATTGACTGAAGCCATTAGTTATTGGATTGAAAGGTGGGAAGCAGGTTGCAGAATATATGGGTCACAGAATCTAAAAGTTTGTCCTGTGAAAATGAGACGTGCTACCAGGGCTTGTCCATGTCATCTTTTAAAAACTGCAGCCATCTTTTAACCAGGCCGTTGAATGATCTGAAATCTGCAATATTTTAGACAATTCACATAAATTTCTTTAGTGTGATTTTAGGAAAAATAGTCTATTGATTCATGACATTTTTGCATAAATCATTCATTTAAGTGGAAGTAAAGTGCAGACTATATTGAGATGTGGTTGGGCCTAATTCAACCGGCTTGTAGGGTGAAGATTGCCCCCAACTTATAAAACACATGTTCAGGCATATATTGTCCCGATGTGGGGACTCTTAACATTGTTTACACAAAATTGGAGATCATATTATATCACAAATCACTTAGTCAATGTAACTTGGGGTTTATTGTACAAAATTAGGCGGAACGGACAGAGGTTTAAAATATAGAATTAAAAAATGATGAAACAGAAGAGTGTTTAGCATACAACTGTGATAGAAAAGTATCATTTCAGCTTAAGAAGATGGTTTATCTAGAGAGTTGTAAAATGTGTGATGTTCTATGGAAGTGATTGTGAACAGTAAAGAACCAAGAACAAAATAAGTTCAGTGTTATAGAGATGATAATGATACGATAGATATGTGGAAACACAAGATGAGATAGGATACGTAATGAATGTATCAGAGAATTAAGTAGCTCCAATATCGGAAGAGATTACATAATCTCTTTTTAAGTGTTTGGTTTGGACACTTACATGTGAATAAGACTTATAAAAGCTTTGAAAAAAGATGATTACATCAGATGTAGGGTAGTTAAATAGTTAAATAGTTAAAGATAGGAGGAGCTAAGAGAAAACTATAGGCCAATAATTTGTCATTAGCCATAACTTACAATAAGACATTATGGTGTCATTTGTTATGTGTTGCTATTGTACTTCTCAAAGCTAAAGCTCAAACTCCATACCAAAAAGCATTTAAAAGAAATTAATTTTGGTCAATACACATTGCGAGAGTTCTTGACCTGTGATGTAGGTCTGAACTGAGCAATTATCAAGATGAGAAATGCAACGACGGAAATTGTTAATGTTTTCACGCGAATCAATCAGATGAGTTGACTTCGGCTGAAATACAGCAAAATCAACTTGAAACACATTTATCTGCAGCATCCTTTAAAAACGAAGATAAAAAACATTTAATATCATTTAGACCAAACTGAATTACAAAACTCAAAGAAAACAAAATTCATATCATCAATACAAACGCTCACCATGAGGCTCTTCTGCATTACAGAATCCACATCTTCAGGCAAGATCGAAGTTATGACTATTACTTTTCTCTCAATATCTTTACCTTGCCAAGAATACAACACTCGTTTGCTCAAAACATCTGAAATCATTACATCTGCAAATCAACCATCAGAGAATTGTCAATGCCTTATTCTGAACAGGAAAACGCCTTATTCTCAGCTGGGAGAGAGAGAGAGAGAGAGAGAGGAGAGAGAGAGAGAGAGAGAGAGAGAGAGGAGAGAGAGAGAGAGAGAGAGAGAGAGAGAGAGAGAGAGAGAGAGAGAGAGAGAGAGAGAGAGAGAGAGAGAGAGGAGAGAGAGAGAGAGAGAGAGAGAGAGAGAGAGAGAGAGAGAGAGAGAGAGAGAGCACCAGATACGTTATCCATATCAAACAGAAAGGCATCTGATGGCAAACTGTTAACAGCGTGGTGAAAATCGCGCAGGTTGAAATTTCCCACGGGACGGTAAGCGATCATCAACTACATTACCAGTAAATTCACTCACCTCTAGGGATCATAACACAAACACGTCTAGTGCATTTCGAATTTATCAATCTAATCGCGAATTGTAAAAAGGTTCTCGGTACCAAAACATTACCTCGTCAGAAGAAGTTAAACGATTCTTGACGACATAGCACAAACCGATTCTATCACTGAGAGTAGCGGATTTGCGCGCAGAGGAAGACGGACTCGAAATCGCGTAGAAATTAGCGAGTTGAAGTAGTGACTGAATGAAAACACGAACGAACAAGGAAAAATCGTCAATCTATTAGGAGAGATGAAATTGCGCGGGTAATTTCATGAAATTGGAGAATTAGGGAAAACGAATTTGATTGAGTAGGTATGGTTATGAAGATCTATGTACCTGCTTTAAGTCTCCTAGCAATGGAGGTGCCAAGCTTCGCAGATCAAGAACGAAACAGAGCTGAACCATTTTGCGTCTCCAATGATGGCTCTCTGGTTTGGCGCGAAAGAGAATTTCAAGTATGGCAGAGATATTTAAACTTGAGGAATGGTAACAAAAAGTTTGAATAAAAACGGGGGGGCTAAGCTCCGAAGTAGTAAAATGGAAAACAAACAAACACTCAATAGAAAGAAGTGGTGCAAGGAACACATTTCAACCATATTCGATTCTAAGTATAAAAAAATGAGTATACTAATTTAAAAATTTGGCTACGTTTAATTATTCTTTTTAAGTTTAAGTTTGACGAAATGAAAGGGAAAAGATGTTAAAGTGTCACAATTTCTATAACTATTTTATATTTGGAGTCATTGCACTTGTGTAGAACTCTTAAACTCTTAACTTTTTGAAAATATTATTATTGTATTATCTAGATTTTAAAATTTGGACGCATTTAATATATAATAAAATTTAAAATTTTAGATTTTTGGTGTGTTTCAAGTGAATTTGAATTCTTTGTAATATTTAGTGTGTCTAAATTTTGAAATCTGAATAAGTCTATTTACGCATTGGATGTAATTTTGAAATTTTTTAATTTTCTAGTAATATGTGATGCATCACAATTTCAAAATTTAGATGTCTCTAGATTACAACATTTTAGCGTAAATTTTAGGTCGCAATCTCAACTTTCAATCTATGCCATTTTCAGCTCAAGTATCCAATTGTTCGGGTTCTTTTTGCATTGTGTTCTACTTCATGAAAGGAATATTTAGCAAAAAGAAAACCACAAAATGCACGAGCAGATTTGATTTGGCCTAAGTATGAATATGGTGGCATGAACTATGTTTGTACCAAGTGACCCGTAATTAGAAATGACCTAAAACTCAAAGGGGACCACTTTGCACATGTGCAAACTTGTTTATCATAATAAAATACATTTGGTACAACACAAAAATGACTGGAATTTCTCAACAAATCACACTTTTTAGGCCTCATTTCACACAGTTTAGATCTAGAATTTTTCAAATTTGATTCACACGATTGAAGAGCAATTGACACGTATGATGAGCTCACTCATTCTCCTATAAATAGAGCTCACTTCTGCACTCAAAACCAAACTTGAAAAGCCAAAAAAAACTCTGTTATTTTGAAGCTCAAAAACCTCTAAAAACCAAAAGATCAAAATACCATTGTCTCTCTGTTTCAACCTTAATTCTCCACCCAGAATCATTCATTGTCATCCTTTGAAGCTACCTGAAGCATTACAGAAGTTAGCCGTAACCTCTGAGCACCAACTCGATCTCACCATTTTTAGACCTTTTGAGCTTACTTCGAACAGGTAGCTACGAGTTTCATTTTCACTCAAACAAGTTACCATCCTCTTTGTCTTGTTCTTCTGAGTGAAAACCCTAACCTAATTGAGATTTATTGTTGTTGTTTGTCATTTAATTTTATTTTGAAACTCTTAGGATTTTTGTGTGTTTCTGCAAATCCTCCTTGCTCATATCAAATAAATTAATCTTGAGCAAGAAAACATGAATGATGAAGTATGATAAAGCTTACATGATGTGTGTTTAAGCTTAAAATTACAGTTCATGATCTTATCAAAGCTGGGGTCAGAGGTTGAAGACGATGGTCTTCACATGTGTTGGTGGAAAATTCAAATGCCTTAGCCAATTAGATCGCACCACTTCTACTAGTCGTTAATCCTTTTTGTTTTATTTTTGTTTTATTTCATTTATTTTAAAAATCATTAAAAATAGTTTCATCATTATTTTTCACTCCAAATTTTTTCTATAATTTTCTAAGCATATATTCTACCTTGTGTGATTTTTTCATATTTTTAAAATGATTTTTAGTATTCATTGCTATTTAATTTTGTTTCTTTTTTAATTGATTTTAAACAATTTTTCTCATTGATTTTGAAACATTTTAAATCCAAACTTTTGGAAAAAAAAATTAATAAGTAATTTGTACTTAGTGGGATTCGAATCTGAGACCTTAAGATGAGAATACTCTCAGGATTCAAGCCTTCACCACTAGGCCACACACACGCGCACAAACTTTTGAGATCTTGATCCTTGAATTTTTGCTGACTTTCCATAATTTTCTTGAGCATTTATTTGATATTTTGATGCTTCATTTGATTTTTCCTTTTATTTTCCATTTTAAACCATTTTAAAAACCTTTTTATTCATTTTATTTGAATTATTTCTCCATCTTTTTTTTTGTTTGACTTCTGTTGACTTGGATCATGACTTAATTGATCAAATTCTTCATCAATATCAATGGACTTTGGTTGATACTTTGGATACATGAATCTTCATCATTTCAAAATTATCATTAAATGATCATTTGGATCATGGTACTTTGGATTGATGATAGGTTTATCTTATTGAAACATCAAGAGAGGTGGTTGAAATTGATGATAGATTGACCTAATGTTGTGATTCAATTTGATTGCTCATCTCTCTTCATCTCTTTCTTCTTTTGTTTTGATCAATTGGATGATGATGGTTTCATCTTGTTCAGTTAGGTTTAGATTGATGCTTGATGAACTTTCATCATTTCAAATTTACCATTAAAGGATCATTTGATATCTTTTGATACTTTGGATTGATGATAAGTTTGTCTCAAGGTATCATGAAGAATTTGATTGAAGTAACAATTTAATCTCCTTACCTTTGTGCTTAATCACTTATCTCTTCATCTTTTTCCTTTTGTTTTGAATCACAGTGTTGCATTGTTTTCGGAGAATGACTTTGTATCATTTCTCTAACATGCACTACACATACATTGTTATTTCCCGACCTCAGATAGGTGTAACTTCTACATAAGTTCACTTACGATTGCTTAACATAGCGATAAATTGTCCCGAATCGGATTATTAACTACTAACATTAATATTTTACTCAATATTATTATGCTAACTTTAATTTTCCGCACTTTTACATTAATGTCGTTTAATTTCTTGCCTCTTTACTTTAATGTAATTTATATTTCAAGCACTTTACATTTCATGTCATTTATTTTATTCATTTTTTCCTTTTCCCCTTGAGATTTTCTTTTTCTTTTGATTAAAAGACATTAATAAAGGTAAAACCCTAAAAAAAACTTGACTCTAATTACATGAACTATTGGTTACTATCCCTTGCTTAAGGATTGTTGGACTTTGGACCTTGGACCTAGGATTTAGATTCCTTTGTTTTGAGTATTTTCATTTGAGACCTTGAGATTCATCTAGACCCTTGCATCTGATACTCTGAGATTTCATGTGAGACTTTGGGATTACATCTGATACCTTGAAATTTCATCTGATACATTGAGCTTCATCAGATATTCTGGATTTTATCTGATACTTTGGATTTCATCTGAGACTTTGGGTTTCATCTGGTGCTTTAGAATTCATCTGCTTGTGTGATTGTTTTCTGTTATACTTGACTTGTGGCTTACTCCAAAGGGAAAGGAATGCTCATTTTGACCAATGTCAAATGTTTTCTCTTCTTCTGGTTAGTTCACTTGCACACACAAAGGCTTTCTCTTGGGCTACTTTACAATGAGATCTTTTATTTATTGTCCTTTACTTTATGCCTTAGGATAGTCTCTTTATCTCCTCCTCTTCTTTAATTTTCAAAATCTTCTCTCTATTTCAAAAACTTCTTGTTTTTCTAACTTCATATCTTTTTTAACAAACCTTGACTTTGTCAAGTGATCCACAAAAATTTCTCTCAATAAATGCTAAAACACTTAAACTTATTGAAACTCTTTTAAAAACTCCTAAAAAGACAAAACTCATCAAACTTCTTTTGTGTCTTAGTTCACTTTTCTTTTCAATCCATACCTTTTATGAAAGAAATGATATGAGTCTATTCTTGAGATGATGCAAATTCCTATACTTCTACAAGATGATGTGAAATTGATTGAAATTTTCCACTTGAATGTTGATACATGCTTGTTGAGTAAATCCAAGTAAAATTCTGCATATCAAGATGATGCAAATGCTCATTTCCTCATACTTGTGGGTAGTAAGTTGAGTTTTCCACTCGAATACGACAAAATGTCTTTTTTACCTAAAATAAAACAACAAACAAAAGCACATTTCATAAAACAAAAACAAGTGGTTCCTATGGAGTACCATAGATGTGAGGGATGCTAATACCTTCCCCTTGCATAACCAACCCCCGTACCTAAATCTCTCTTTTTGTTTTGGTTCTCAAAACTTTTTGTGGGTTTTTTCGACCTTTTTCCTTTAGAAACAATAAAGTTCGGTAGCGAGTCTTGCTTTTTCTGAGTTAAGTTAATCAACAGCTTAATCTCAATTTTCCCGCTGCAACACACTCATTCTCTCTCTTGATTAAAATTTCAAATCTCTCGCACATTTCTTTTTCCCACACTTTCTCGCTTTCATTCAATTGTTCCAATGGTGTCCTTTTAATAAGGTTTGGGTACCAGATTCCAAACATAATTCCTTTGAAACTAACTCAACCCAACTGAATATGAAGACTTGCACTTGAAAGTCTTAGATTGTGAAGCTTCTTTGACTTTGCATGAGTTTCTTTATAAGCTTCTTCCACTGGATGGATTTCATAACTTGAAACAGCTTATTAACCACCACCTTCTGGACATCTAGCTTCTAAAGTGTCTTCAGAGCTATGAATATTTGTACCAATGATCCTTATTTTATGGTTTCCTCTAAACTCCATAATTCCTCCCTCTTTAAAAGTTAGGTTTGGAACATATGCTATTGTCTTGTCATATGCCAGGAGAAACCATTGTTCAAGTACCATGATTGTTGCTTCGCTTCTCCCTTCAAGAATATATGTCGCAAATACAATTTAAGATTTAGATACCCATAATGTTATGGATCCCTTAGTGTTAGTTCTGAAAGGCTTCTTCTGACTTTTTACTTTTGCTTTCATATAGTGGGACTTGGGATCATTCAAGACTTTTGGTTTAAAAGTTTTTGATCTTGAATTTATTTTAGCCTTAAGTTATGAACCTTCCAGAACCTTAAACTCTATTGTCTTAGGTTC